ATTTCTTGTTTGCTTAAGATGATCTCCCACAAGACTGCCTGGTCTACCATAGCTGCAGCTACAAATCAAACACCTGTAAGGCAAATATGGTGGCTTTCAAAACTGTCCACACCCCTGTGAAAGATGTCAGGGTGTTGTGATAAGAATGGCCGCATAATAAATCATTTAGAGACACTTTTTTTTTACTTTAATGTAACTTTGAAACTCTACAAATCACATAAAAATATGTTAGAAGAAAAACACTGAAACAATAATAATCTGGTTAAACAATGATTCCCTTCTCTTATATAGAGATGTCTGAGATTCTATCCACTTTTAGGCATATTTTAGATTAATTGGAGGAAAAGTTACCCAGGGTCGCTGCAAGAACCATTTTTTACTGTGGATATGGTTCATCTTTGGGGATGTTTCCTTTCAGAAGTTCTGTTAGATTTATGTAAAGCATGATATTTTCCTGCAGAGTTTTGGGAAATTTAGCACAATCTAAAATATGTCTTTAAAAGGTAGCATTGTCTATTTTACTTCACTACTTTTCCTCCAGAAATAGGGTGAATACAGGGGTTCATTGTGTGTAAAAGATCTCCCCAACCCTCAAGCCTAGTGTAGTTCTTGACAAATGCGCACAAATCCACTTTTAGCATATATTGTTAAACTCTGATACATTGAAATTCATATGACACTTTATAAACTATGTGCAAACTAAAGATGTCACTATGAATGTCAAAAAGATCCTCTCTTAGAACTTGAGCTTTTTTAAGGTCCAATGGTTTAAGTTAGTGCTGACAAGATGTAACTGACAAGACTGAATGCTGGGGGGAAAAAATAAATGAAGTATGTCCAAAAGGGATGCACATATTTATGGAATCTGCTTTTTTGAATTTTCTGTGTTGTTGTTTTTTTTAAATGTTTCTACTTCTAAAAAAGATTTAGTTCCTCTATTGAATTGTGCAGGGTAGACTTAACCTTGACTTGGGACTTGAGTTGGTAATATTAGAAATTACAAGTGACTTGACTTCGACTTGATTGCCTTAACTTAAAATGATTTGACACTCTTTTTAAAGTAAAACAATAATAATAATACCAAAAATAAAATACTTGGTAACAATCTTAAAATTAAACATATGACTTGGAACTCGTTTGTCTAGACTTGTGACTTGACTTGAGATCTACCAATCTTGTCTAGTGCTTTAACGTGTGACTTGACTATAAATATTATGGATTAACTTGTGACTTGGAAAGTAATGATTTGGTCTCTCCAATGGTAAATGTGACACAATAAAGGTTGATAAAGTTCTGAGGTTATAAACTCTGGTTCCATTTTCTTAAAATCACAAATACATTTTAACGACTACATTATTTGGATACAAAAACTTCAACATGCAGTTTTAATAGTTTAACTATTAATTAAACTAAAAATTAATAGGTTGTGGAAGTTGTCATCAGTCCTACTAATGAAATTATTAACCATCTTATCAGTAAGAAAATAATAATTTAGAACAAACTTGTCACACCTGCTTTGGAGCTGTGACCATCATAACAGTTCATCATCACCTTGGTCTGCATGAGCTGCCATATAAGGACAGGTCTTCCTCCTGCACAGGGTAGGACTGTAGTTTAACTCTACGTAGTAACACTTTCAGGCCATTATTCAGCTTCAGTGAACTTTGACCAGTAAGTATCCTATTTTTTTCCCTTGACCCTTCCTGCTTCACACCCATCCCTACCTATCTTGAATCACCTGGATTTGACCCTCTGACTGCCTGAGCCCAAGAATCTTTATCAGCCAATCTATTGGATTGGATTACCTGCCGACCCCGAGAAATAGCCTAAGTAAAAGTATTTACTGTTCTGTGCTAAATGCTCAGTCTAAGTGTTTGGAAACAGCTGCCGTTCCAAACTGCCCCCCACAAAAGCTTCATACACATTTACATTAAAGACTGGAGAGTTGCATTTATCATCATCCCTCTCTTAAAGATGGATTATTCCTTCAGTTCAGCCGATGACCTAATGTCATGTAAAAAAAAATTTTAAAGCATTTTTCAACTCTGTAGACACAATGGAAGATATGTTCCATATTTTGTATCCAAAGGGTTGATTGTTTTGATCTTTATTGAAAAAACAATTAAGAGGAAACAAAAAAACCTACGGTCAGTTAAAAAACGGTTCTGACCAGCCTTTTATTAAACAGAGGTAGGGGATTTCATTCAGTTAAAACTAAATAAAAATTATGTACTATACCTTCACAATGCAAACCATGATTTAAAAAAAACACTTTCTGTTTTTAATTGTATTTCTAATCATATTTAGACTCAATAACGAATTTTGTTATACCAATTTCGTATCAACCTATATACACGCATTGTACATAAAACTGAAAATGATCAGAAAATGAAAAAGCACCTCATTAAAAACTTGAATAAAGAGAGTTAAGACTGAATCAGTTGACCAGTGATCAAAACTGGCCAACCTTTCACTATCAGCAAATTAAATATAAAAATTATCAGTTTTAATCATGTTCATCTCGTGAATCAAAACTCAGAAAGTTCCTCCTTTAGATACATAAACAAATCCAACAACCAGATGTTCTTTAATGCACTTTGGTTTGATCTTAATTTGTTGTCAGAGTAGGAAACTTACACAAACTACCATGTATGCACTATATACCTTGAAAAAATATATATAGGCATCAACTCAGATCTTAAGTAAAACCATGATTGCCATGCAAAAATAAAAATTTACAGTTAAATATATTCAATAGCAAAATTACAATTTATTTAATCTCAATGTACAATGCTAAAAAAGACATATTATAAGGGAAGTCCCTGCCAACAGATCACATTTACAAAGATATTTTAGCATTTATAGATGAATTTATAAATCCGCTGACTGATATTTTTAGTTGATATTTACGTTTTGTTTTTGTTTTTTTCTTTCTGGCGTTATCCGCCAAAACTTGCATTTTTTTGCTGATTAATTAATGCATTCAGTAGCCATGTCTCGAAATTGGGTGGTGCTTGAAGGCCAATCGCTCCATTTACAATCCATTGTTAGTGTTTTGTTTGGTTTGTTAATAAACGTTTGTTTTTGTTTAGATTGAGACCTGTCTGAGATTTGTTACCACAGTGTCAATTTCTAACATGTAAATGGAGGAAGATTGGCCTGAGGAAAATAAATAAATAAATCTCCATAAAATATCGGGGATTTTCTAAACCAATATAATAACTGGCATCAGCATTAAAAAACCTGAATTGGTCGATCTCTAATACTTTTTAATATGTGTATGTACAAAGAGCTGACAGTATAAACTAAAATTCAGATTTTATAATAAAATCACGTTTTGTATTAGGTTTCAGCAAATATCTTTCTTCCCTACATGAGTTTACGATAAGTACACTGTGTAGGTCTGGTCTCAGATTTTTAATAACAAATTTGATTATTAGTTTTTTTATTTTCTTCCTTTTTCTCTCCTTCATGGGAATAAAATAAAAATGGCAGAAATTGTTTTAAATATTTCAGATTTCTCTTCTGCGATGTGACCTGGATTCGAACAGTGAGGAAATAAAATTTTGTAAGACAAGTTGTCAAACATTGCAAATAATTAAAGTGTAGCCCAAATGTTTGCAGTGATGTGACCGGAAATCAGAGGCAAATGTCAATCTAAATTACAGGGCCAAAACATTAACCAGCGGTAAGCTGATGGTTTAACAATCGAAGCAGAGTTGTCCACACATCAGCAAACGAACCTGCCTTTTCCATTTACCAGTGAAAGCAGCACTAAATAGAGCTTACCCTGAGTATACTGTGTGGGATTTTTTATACTAGCTCATACTAGGAGTGAAATCAAGCAATTTTCTGTCCATAAATAATAATAGTTCGAGTTGTCATCCCAGTATAAGATGGTGAGCAGGGTGTTGAACATGATGAACTCTGGATGCACTGCAGGGAGCTGCAACAGGTCCTATCCATTTCTTAGATAAAAGTCTGATAGTGTGTGTCAATCATAATGCTGGGTTCAATGATTGCTTTGAAATGGATGTAAACCTTCAGCATGAATAAAAACATCTTGGATACACATCCATCTAGCTGCATTCCCCCTATGAGAGACCCACTGTTTACATGTTTGCAGTGAAATAACAAAGGCAGTGTTGTTCAATCACATGGCATAAAAAAGTGATTATCTGGAAGCGTGCTGAGTTTTAGTAGGTACTGAGAGACAAACAATGAGCTCCTGGTTGATTCCATTTAGGGCTAAGCATCATAGAATGCTCAGGACAAAAAAAAAACATACCATATTTGCATAGTTTAATATGGATTCATGCAATGATGAACAGGTAGCGGACCCTCTTTTTTAAGAAGGTTATCTAAAAACATGAGGATAAAGATTTGGATGTAGTTCCTATCATAGAAATTCTCTACAAAGTAAATCATCACAGCATTTTTACTCATCCATTTTTTTTTATTTCGGTGTGCCAATCTGAGTCCTTTTATGGCCCCAATGTGGTTCCCCCCAAGGGAAACCAAGGTATACTTTGCACCGGCTGGGTTAAATCCTGACATGAGTTGTGATGGAAGGATGGTATTCCTACAAGGTTTGTTATGAGGCTCTAATAGCCATATCTATACAGCAATTAGACCAACTAGTGTGATTTTACCTATTGAGATCAACAACACAATAATCCTCTTAGGTGCAACTCCACACAACCTTTGACTTGCTCTGAACCAAACATCAGCCAGTATCCTTTCTAAGGCAATGGACGATTAAAACCTGCTGAAACAATCTTATTGACAGTTAAGAATAGTAATTCAATTTCATGATAAGGAATAATGGCAAAGACTTAAGAGTGTCTAACAAATATTTACAATCGTAATAAGTTACAATCCTTAAACTGCTATTTTATTGTTTTGACAAATTTCTACACATCATTATCGCATGTGCCGTATAAATTCATGAAAGTGTACATCATCAGTACAGAGTATGAATAAAAATCTAAAGTACTTACTATTGCTGGACTTGAGATCTCTGTGGATGATTGGTACGAACGCCTGGTTGTGCAGGTAATCCATGCCTGTAGCAATCTGCACAGCCCAGTTCACCAAAACTCTTGGGGGGACCTTCTTCCCAGCCAATGCACGATTTAAAGCCCCTCCTCTGGCGTACTCCATCACCAAGCAGAGGTTGGGTTCCTTCAGGCAAACCCCACGAAGAGATATTATGTTGGGGTGACGGAGAAACCAAAACAACCTGGCCTCTTGCCGTACGCTTTCCGCTGTGACGCTAATATCCTCATCTGGATCCTGTCTGGCAGCCTTTACAGCTACCTCCTCTCCTCGCCAAACTCCTTTGTACACCTTCCCAAATCCGCCAGCTCCTATCACCTCCTCCAAGGTCAGTTCTGAGAAGTCAATCTCCAACGGAGACTCGCTCACTCTGACTGCCACCAGCCCTCCAACCTTCAGCTGCTGATAACTGGCAGCATCTCCTCTTGTGACATAGTTACTTGGAAAGATACCCACCTTGTCCTGGATCTTCCCTGTCCACCAGCCCTCATCCCCAGAAACCTTGGAGTCTTTGGAGAGAACCTCCAGTAGGTCCCCACGTCGCAAGGTTAATTCCTCATCTGCTGTGGCTTCGTAATCAAACACTGCCGTCCAGTAAGGGTTGGCGTTTTTAGCCCCACATGGATGCCCAGGATGGGAATCTAGAGAGTCTGAGGATGAGACCGTAGAGTTCCAACTGGTTCCATTCTCCACCTGCAAGAAAGGGGCAGGGGACATTGATGGTGGAGGGGTCATGCTTGAGGGCATAGAGGAGGAGGTAGTAGTGGACGAGGACGGGGGCCCAGGGGGGATAAGACAAGGGGGAGGTGGTGAGCAGCAGTCCCCGCAGCTGGTGCAGGACACGGGGGGTGGTTTGCTTTTCGCCCTTCCGTATGGAATCATGCTGTTGGACGCTTTGGGCAGGCCCCGTGTCAACTCAGGCACAAAATCCACACAAGGCCCATGGACTGAGACAAAGTGGTCTCAACCAACCCAAAAGAATCCGGATCAGGGGCTCTCCCCCATGGCCGTATCTCTCTAATGAATTTGTCCCAAATAGTTGAGTTGCAACACAACGTGCAAGTAACATGTATTCCAAAAAGGCAGGGTCACACAGGGGCGATGAACATCAGTTCAAACAATGACACTCAGCAAGGCAGATCCATGACAGGAGTTCCTAGAAAACAGATTGTTTGCATAAACAGATGAGTCTTTTCAAAGTGGCACAAAATGTCAGTAGAAGGGATTCTGAAAAATCAAAAATGATTGCCTGCAGTGTGATTTCCGATTAGAAGATGTGAATATTAATCAAATGAAATGCATCACTGCCTTCATGGGATTCAGAAAACATATTAAAAAAAATATGAGGTGAGTTATTACTTTGAACAAATTTTCTTGTTCTTGGCTTTTGTTTTTGGTTCATTCCAAACAATTAAATGTCTACCCTGAGGAAGCTTTACCAGTTGCTGGGGCAACAATGAAGTCACAGCTGACTGTCAGATTAATTTCAGCACGGAAAATTAATTATTGGTCTGCAAAAAACAACCCCAATATAACCCAAGTACATGAGCCGAGCAAAAATCCTCTGTGCAGGGGGGGTTCACATTATTTCTCATCCAGCCGATGCACCTCCCCCGCCAGCCGTCTCCATAAATGTGCATGGAAATATCCGCCGATATATGCGCCCTATATCTCCATGAGCCAGCCGGGGCTAAATCCTATCCACGCATGGCCAGTCGGTAGCCGGTTGAGATTCCCAGATATAAGAGGCCCCCGTTCATTTCAATACAGCTGAGGGGGGGCTGAGTGGCAGCAGGTATTCAGTGACTGCTGCGGGGCAGCGGATTGGCACCATGTTCAGCATCCAGCGCAGTCTGTGCGCCACTAACCCACCTCCTTGCGCGCGCAGCGGCCTGGTTCAATCGCCTTTGCTCCTGCGAGGTTTCAATAGAAATCCTTCTTTGTTGGATGCAGCTGCATACAAACATTTCTCGTTTACGGTGCTGCTTTTAGATGAGCTGTTGCATCTTCGCCTCTGGTGGAAGAGGGGGGGTTTAAATGTCTTCTTTAGCAGAGACGGAGGCTGTCATACGGCTCAGTATGGTGGGAAATATTCCCAGAGAACATTTGCATAGAGCTGTTGAGATCCGCAGCCGTTTCTTTCTCTAATAATAATAATAATCGAATACAATATAATGCGTTTTTCGCTGCTTACTTCTTTATTTTACCTTAACGTACACTGAAATCTAACCTGAACACTGAAGACATCCACTGTCCAGTCGTTGAGGCGTCGGGATCCGAAATCCCAGTTAAATGCCAAATATATATAGGCTACATAAATATATATATTAAAACTGCCGCCGTCTTCTCCGTTTATTGGTTGATATTCCGGGGAGTTTCGTCGTATCCAAACGGGCTTTATCCTTCAAATAAGGCGTAGACTCCGCTGGGCTCGGAGCTGTCAGTCTGTGGGCTGACTTTGCATCCAAACACACCGGGCTGTGGCGTGCACGCTCACGGGAGCGAGCGTTTCCGCTGTTTTCCAGATCCTCAAGTCATGCGGATGGTCAGGGCGTTAATCTTTTTACCCTCTCCCTCCCTTCTCCATCTTTATACACATTTACAGCTCACCTCAGTTTGGGCGAAGGGCGTCCTGCAAGAACGATACAAACCTTACTGCTGCATTGTGGGTAATGTAGTTAGGAAGCTCTCTCTTCCTGACCTACATCATTATGGCAGCTGATATAACGACGTAATTAGCAATATTATGCATGTAAATCAGGATAAGTACATTTTCATATGGAACCGATTATTTAAACACTATAATATTTTAATTTTTACGTCTTTACCACAATATAGGCCATTGATAACATTATAGTTTGTTAAATAGTGCGATGAAATGCATTTTGATTAATAAAAAATATACCCAACTTTATTCTACAGATGTAATGTAAAATAATAATAACAATATTTGGTTTGTTCTAATTGTAGTAAATAATTTTTTTCATTTAATCAGTGTTGTTTGATGACATTGTGGTAAACTACCACTACTACTTGACTACTTACATTAAATTAAAATATGTCAATACCATTTTTAATAAATAGTCTAAAAATGTTAGCATTTTACAATTCACCCTTGAATTTCCAAATCAAAATCTGACAGTAGGGCTGGCTCTGGTAGGTATTATGGAGCTACACTGCACCCTGGTGTGTGTTTCACAAAACACAAGAAATACAAAAAAAAATGTTAGCTACCACGTAATTTCTTCTTTTTTTTTACACAATCATAGAGATAGAGAATAATGTTAAAATTTTGCCTATGTGACATCCCATTAATAATCCATAGGGGTTCAGTATGATGTGAATCCATTTTTTGCCTCTAGAACATCTTAAGCTCTTCTGGGAAGTCTGTCCACCTGGTTTAGGAGTGTTTATGGGAACTTGTGACCATTCTTCCTGAAGTACATTTGTGAAGTCACACACTGATGTGAGATGAGAAGGCCTGGCTCTCAGTCTCTGCTCTAATTCCCTCCAAGGTGTTCTGTCGGGTTGAGGTCCACTCTGTGCAGGCCAGTCAGTTCATCCCCACCAGAATCTTCCATCCATGTCTTTATGGATCTTCCTTCTGCTCTGGTTAATGTTGGAAGAGGAAGGGGCCAGCTCCGAACTGTTCCCACACAGTTGGGAGCATGCAATTGTTCAAAATGTTTTGGTATACTGAAGCTGTCAGAGTTCCTTTCACTGGAACTAAAGGACGAGGTCCAGCTCCTGAAAAACAACCCCACACCATAATCCCCCCTCCACCAAACTTTACACTTGCCATGATTCTGTCCAACAAGTAGCTACTTTTCTTGAGTCAACTAGCAAACCTAGACTTGTTCATCAGATTTCGAGATGAATGATAGCGATTCATCACTCCGGAGAATGCATATCCTCTGCTCTCGTGCCTAGTGGCGGAGTGCTTTATTGTATCTGACACTTTTGCGCTTGGTGATGTATGGCTTGGATGCAGCTGCTCGGCAATGGAAACCCATTCCATGAGGCTTTCTGTTATTGAGCTAATCTGAAGGCCACATGAAGTTTGGAAATATGCAGTGATTGACTCTGCAGAAAGTTGGCGACCTCTGTACTCTATGCCCTTCAGCTTCCACTGACCCCACTCTGTCAGTTTAAGTTGCTGACCACTTTGTGACTGAGCTGCTGTCGCTTTATGATACGGCTGAAAGTTGACTGTGGGATTTTTAGGAGTGAAGGAATTTGGGGCCTGTTGCACAGTTAACATCCAATTTCAGTTCCACCCTGGAACTCACTGAGCTTCTGAGAGTGACCCATTCTTTTACAAATGTTTGTTACAAGAGTCTGCATCAGTGGGTGCTTCATTCTACACACCAGTAGCCATGGAAGTGATTGGAACACCTGATTCCATCAATTTGGATGGGAGAGCAAATACTTTTGGCAATGCAATGTAGCAGACAATCATTAATATTCTCCTTGAACATTGTAATCCAATAAAAGAAATTGCCAAAGATTTTGCATGTTCAGCAGGCCAATGAAAGGGTGAATGGAAGGAAAAGGTCAACAAACAGTCAGGAAAAACACGCTGCTGATAGAATTGTAAAACCAAGCCTATTCAAGTGTTTGGAGCAGACAGTGAGAGACAGAGGACATGTGGGTTCCCTGCTGTTATATTTAATTATTTTATTTATCACACCTGAACCAGAGACGATTTCAGAGGTGTCCTGGACTGAGAAAAAAGCGGACTGGGTCATTGCCCTGTGGTCCAAAGTCTTCACTTTAAGTGGAAGTTAAGTTTGAATTTCTTTTGGAAATAAAGGTTCAAAGTCTGGAGGAAAGGTCGAGGCCCCAAATCAAAGTGGCATGGACTGCAGTGTAAGGTTTCTACAATGAGGGAATATGTGAGGAGGCACATCATCAGTTGCTTCTGGTCTGCTGTGTTTTATCAAATCCTATGTTAGCAAACAAGAGCACCTTTCCTTGTGCTTAGAAGCTAGATGCTCATTTTATTTCATGGACTTGGCACCTACCAAAATTATCAACACATGATCTAGTAACCAGTAACTTTGACTAATTTGCAGCACATTCTCCAGAACAACAGACAAGGTATTGTTTAGAGAAAGATAAAGGGGATCACTTATGTTTTTTGGGGGTTTTAGATTTTGTCATATCCAGGCAGACAATCGAAAATGTTTCTTTACATAGAAAGTAAAGTTCTTCTCCACTTCTATTTGATTATCATCTTAAATGAAATATTGGCAACTTAGAGTATCTAATGCTTACAATTAAGTGTTAGAAGTGAGTGAAAACAATTTTTTTAAGTTTGTTTTTTTCCCTACATCTTCAGGCTTTTTTTTTTTTGTTTGTTTTTAAAGAGAAAACAAGGATGCAAAAAATTGTAAGGTGTATAACAAGGTCTTTAGCTGGGTACTAAGATGTGCCACTAAGTGTTTTCCTGTTATTAATTTTTGTCTGCTATGAATAATCACCCCCTTTCCTTTATCTATCCCTGAGTTTCTAGATTAGAGGGCTAATAATTCTCTCATACAAGATTTTGAGCTATTTTGTGCCACTGAGTCAGTCCCACCACCTTAACACTTAACAGTCAATGTGATCGGTTTTATAATTCTATGCCTTTATGCCAACTTGGCGATACACAAAGATGATTCTGATTAAGAGCAAAGCTCCCTAAAAAAACGTTAAACTGATATCTGAAAATAGAGTACAAAGGATGAAAAATTTGGACATTTCATCAAAGCAAAACACAAACATAAAAGGGAAAAATGTAATGATAAAAAGTCACATCAAATCACTAAATTATGTGAAGTAACCAGAAGGTGGTGCTATTTATCAAATTGTATTTTAGAATTCCAATTTAATTATTAAATCAGTGGGTTTATAGAAATGGCTAAAGTAATGACAGAATTTAATTATAGGCATAAAATATATTCTGAAAGAGATATACTTCAAAGGTATGATGACGTTTTAATGTAAGAAATGTTAATCGAACCTATAACTTGTAAAACTAGTGTACTTGTTAGAACTGTTAAACTTGTTAGAACTGTAATGTTTTAATATGTTTATATTACTTTTTTTATGTATTTTTTTTTACTGTTTTCAAGGCTGCACTTAAAAAAAGGAAATTGTCTAGAGAGCTGTTCTTAAAGAAATTTCTTTTTCTTTACACTTGTATATACAAGACAACAAAATAAATCTGTCTAAGTCTAATGTATAATGTATACTCTCTTCACTTGAAATAATCAATTTCTTAGAAGCAAGTTAATGATAGCTATAATAATGAAGCTACTTAAATTCATTTTACTAAAAAGACCTCATGCATGTCAGCAGTAGAAATTACCAGTCTTTGAAAGAATAATGTTTAGTCTGAAAGCTTGGTTTTGGTTTTATGCAATAGATTTTTTTGTATAATCCAAAACTTTTTTTTTTTTTTTTACTTAAGAATGTTTTTTATTATTTTTTTTTTTCAATGTGGCAAAGTCTGTACCACACTGGGAAGAATTATTCAAACAATCGATTGAAATAGAATCAAATAATTCTGTTTGATTAATCAGTTACATTTTTACTTAATTTATTTATTCATTCTTTTTTTCCCCCAAAGTACATAAAATATTTTTCTGATTCCATAAATGGCACATTCTTTTTTTTTTTCAATTGTTTATTTAGTGGATTTTCATTTTCTTATACAAACACAACATTCTGAACACATAGGTAAGCTGAGAGAGAAAAAATAAATAGTTGCAAATATTAAGGGTGTAAACATAGGTTTGGAGGAAAATAAACCAAATGTAACAAAAAAATAGTTAAAACAAAATATTAAAAATAATAAACATAAATACAATAAAATAAGTCAAGTACATTATGGTTGTCAATGTTATTATTTAAAAAAAAAAACACAGTCAAGCACGATTACAAGTCATGTGTTAGATCAAGATGGGATATCCCATAGAAGGAAGTCAGGTGATGATCAAGGGTCCCAATGTTTGAGCAAAAATATCTCCTTTACCTTTCAAGTGGTAAGTATATTGCTCTAGTTGCATTGTGTCATTCATTACTGTTTTAAATAAATTAATTGTAGGTGCTTTAGCTTGATTCCAGTTGAGCAGTTAAATCATTTTATTGGAGATCTTAATGGCACATTCTGAGCATATTGAATCAAATTGTCACTATTTTATTTTATTTTTTTGTTTGTTTGTTTTTAAAATTTATCTTGTGTTCTAAAAGTAAGAATACGACAAAGAAAGTTAGAAATATCATTACTACTTACTGAAAAGGTAAGTTTTGTTAAATTAAAGTTGGGTACTGTCCCTGTAGCAGCAGACCTCTGCTGCCCCCTGTGGATACTACCAGGGTATTGCAGCCTGTGTTTCTGCACATGCGCAGCAGGGGTGCGGGCGCAGTTAGTGCCGTGGTTTCGGTTGAGCATTCTTGGCAGCGTCTAGCTCGGAGAACAGGCTGCGGACTGACGTTGAACCGACGGCCGTTTCCTCTTTATGCCTGGAGTTATTATTAACGGACTAACAGAAGGACCTGTGCGGGTTTTAGGTAAGCTTTCCAATTTTATCTGCTTTCTCAGGCTTGTTTTAGCCGAGCTGCGGCAAATATTGTGAGGAGCTGAAAAGTGACGATAGAACTGAACGTTAGCGAGCAGAGCAAACAGTGAACCGAGCGACCAACTTCAGTCAGCCTCTCCACCACCATTCAGTCTGAGCTGAAGGTTCTCCTAGCTCCACGCAGACCTGGAAGTTCATAGAGAGCTTCAAATCTACCGCTACCCGCGATAATGTATTTACTACTAAATACTCTACAACCGCTCTCATCATTCATGATCCAGTGCGCATGCTCTTTGGGCTTTTTTATTGAATTCGGTTTTTGTAGTTTCTCTGCTCAATTGCGGGGGCCAGGCGGAAAAATAATAGTTAAAGAACCTCTACAAGTTCCAGACAATGGAGCTTTGTTTGCGAGCGGAGCTAATCTGCTAAGTTAGCCTGGAAACCAGCTTTGAATGCAGAGTAGTTGTACCGCAGTGGGAAGTTGTGCTGCTTTGTGAGGAGCGTGACAAATGTTTAGGCTGCGGCGCTAAACGGTTGTTTGCGGCTGTGGTTTGTCATGAGAGGGCGTGCAAGACGTTTTTTTTTTTTTTTTTTAAATAGTCGTAGTAATAACAGGAGTGGAGGAGCTCCTATACGTGTCCGGACATGCACTGCGGTTCACCTGTCGGAAGACCTGTGTGCTGTTGCACAGGTGTGTGTTTATACGTTTCTGTCCCATTTGTTTTGCCAGCCATGAGGAAATTGCATCTTTAGCATTAGGAGGATGGATTCTTAAGAGCAACAGAACATGTCTGCATTGCAAACATTCTAGGCACATCATTATTTTTATTTTGATTTTATGATAATACAATTACAGACAAATGACTTTCAGAAAACATACACATCAGCAGCAACACAAAACATGACAGCACTCATTGATTATCTATTCCAAAATATATTAATGTACATACACACAGTATGCAACACACCCCAAATCCCTTAAGAGTTTATACCAACACTGTAATCAAAATACACCCATGCTTAGCTAGCTTTACTCTGCTCCTTCTGCACCCTTGAAATCATGACTTCAAAAGCTGCTGTCTCTGGCATAAGTTGAAGCCATTCCTTAATTTCAGGTTTATTTGCTCTTCCATTTCCGAAGAATAATTCTAGCCGCTGTCAGAAAACCTGTCATTCAGCTTTTGGAATACCCTCTGGCATCAATGACTTGTCTCCTAAGAGGCAGAATTGTGCAGACTCTGGTAAAGGTTGAATGAGCCAGTACTAAAAATTGTTCAAAAGTGCCTTCCTAAAGGGCATTATCAAGGGGCAATCCCATAGTGCGTGGAGAAGTGTTCCAACCTCTTTATTACACTTCCAACTTTTGTTATCCTTTATTAGACCCATTCAGCATATCTTACTTGGTGTGAAATAATACCTCGGTGCAATTTTGTAGTGACTAAATTTATTTCTTGCATCCCCTGTAGCCCCTCCCACATTTGAAATAATATTTTCTAGGCACAATTTCCTCTGTTTACCTTCCATCTGGAACTAATGAACACGCAATTATCAGGAAACTTGGGGCTATAATGTTTGCTTTTTGCATGGTGATTTAAATGGTAAAGCATGTGAGCATAACATCAGATCACTGTTGCAGGGATCCAGTGTTAAATATCTAGTGTAAGATAAACTCCTGTGGTTTGGAGCATCGTAAATCCAGTTTGATCAGATTTCTGAATGTTGGATCACTGCAGTGACAAGTTGCACAGTAATTTATGCTGTATAATCCCAAAACAAACATGATCTTGCGCTTGTATATCTGGAAAAAAGCATTTAACTCTTAAATTTGTTAGAGCTGCACAATGTATGAGCATTTTTTCGAATTACATCAATGTTGATGAAACGTCATTTTCCTTGTCTCTTTCTCTCTGTGACCTTTTGCTGCTGTAAACACCAGAAGCTTCCCATTGTGGGACAATAAAAGGATTTTCTATTCTATTATTCTTCATGGACTGTTTCTAAAGCATTGAGACCAACCAACATGCTTCAGTTATTAATGTCGCTCATTTGCTCCATGATATTTTTAAAAGAAATTAATATGTCAGAATATTGTTAAATGTTGCGTTCGGGTATATCATGACAAATACTTAAATGTGGTGATATTTTGGCTTTTACTGTAAATATAGAGCACGAGTAATAAAGTGTTAATCTAGGTCCTTCTTTCAGTTTAACTCAAGTTTTTTATTGAAAAGCTGCTTTTGCTGTTGTAGAATAGAAATTTACTTATGAATATCTTTTCAATGCGTGTCCACCTAACCAATTACACAATTTTTTAAAAGGTTGCTGTATTTATTATCAAGTGTCATCAAATATGTAGCAGGCTTATAGAGCTTGAATACTTGTTACTAGCAGAATTGGCCTATGGTTATTGCTATCCACGCAGCTCCTGTTGATATGCTGGGATAACTTTATTGTACTGCCCGACTCCATCCATATGTTGTTTAGTTATGATTTGATTATCTTTTTTTCCTCTGAGATCTTATAAAGACATGATCTCATTTTTTCTGTCTTCTCTAACTCTCCACCTGTTTGAAAATGCAAATTGCCTCAAACTGCTTGGTTGGGAAAAACAAACAACTGCTGTGAAGCATTGTATTAGTCATTGCACTAGCGTGTCCATGAAGTTGCCTTTGATTATTCATTATAAACATCAGGAATTTATAGTAAACATCTTGCAGAAGTGCTGTTGCTTTTTCATTCTCAAATTTCATGAATATGGAATTGAAAACATTTTGCAGCTCAGTGCCCTAAACTCTAGATCTACATTGAGATTTCAATAATGGTTATGCATTAAATTAATATTTTTTGCACAAAAAACATTTATATTAATTCCTTGCTCTCCTTAAACCCATTCAAGTTTAATTGTAATCACACAAACTAAATTTTAAGTTCTAATTATATTATTGTATGCAATTACAGTGCATCTAAACTTCAATTTATTGTTTTTACCAATTAGAAAAGTAACATTTTCTCTTTTGTTATTCCTGTTGAATCCTGATTCACTTTTGCAGCAGTATGACTGCACTACTTTTATAACTGACCTACTGTTACAGACTTTCGTAAAGCACCTCCTGGAGTCAACTTGTAGTCGTCTCCTCTGGGTGCGAGATAACAGTTGCTTGTGGTCCGGGATCAGTCTGAGCATCTCATATTTTCTGCTACTTAGTTGGGTGTTTCATTGCAAGCAGCTGCAGGAACAAAGCAGGTTGTCTTCAAAGGGATCTGGATGTGGGCCACCTGAGTGATTTATTTTGCCTGTAAACATTGGTTTGAGTCACCATGTTATATCTTTGCACAAATGACTCACAAGTTGTTGATTTCTTTCCTCTGTCTTTGTTCTTAAAATGACATTCTTAATAACTCTTCTCAGACTGGTAATTATAAGGAAAATGGAAACTTCTTCACCCAGGTTCCTTGTATGGATTTTTAATAAGGCAACCAGAAAACATCGCTTTTCATAACACTGTGATTCACAGCTTTAACACCTCCACAGCCACTCTGCTCTTCCTAGCATTTCTTGCCATGTTTCCAGTTCAATCTTTGAACACATTCTTTAGTTAAATGCAGGTTAATAAGAAGACGGTACATGCTTTTAGAATGCACTGGAACAAGCACATTTACTCACACACCATCTATCATGATCATGGATGTGTCCTGATAGGTCAGAGTCGGAGGACAAACCGTTAGAGCATAGCTACCATCTGGTGCGTGTCAGGGTCCATACTTAAGCCACGGCGTGTGTGCAGCAGTATATGTGTTAAAGAGACGAGGATAAAAAAAAAAAACTGATTTAATACTTCCTTTGTACTATTGGTATTTTTTAAATAGCCCTTAAAGCTGCAATTTAAACTAGTCTTTCTTTAACTTTATTTGTATTTACTGATTAAACACCCACTGACAGTTGCTGCACAGGCTATCACACCTGGCCTCACAGCTTCCAAACAGCCGGGCTTAAATGCAGTTGGGACATTAACTGACTTAGGTTGACAGGTGTTTCTGTCAGATTACAGTTCAAAGTCCTTGAGCCTTTCCTTGGAAAATGTAAAAATGTTGTAATCAGGCCTATGCTAGAGTTTAGACACCTAATTTGGTCTAGGGATGTTTGTATTACAATGTTTTCCTACTCAACTGGCTGATATTGATCCATATATTTAGCCAGAGATGTAGCTTTTAACCGCCTATCCTTTCCTGTCATTGCAAATAGCAGTTTGGCTATGTGTCTCTGAAACTTAAAAAAAAAAAAAAAAAAAGCAGCAGCCCCACGAACAATCTTTCTTTACTGTGACAAACCTTTGCATCAGTTTGATTACCACCATATAAAGGTCACAAAACAGTAACTTGTATGTTGCAGAATTATCCTAATATTTGGTTTTAAAGTCAGTAGTGTCCGATACAGATAGCATGCTGATAGTATGTCTCCCTAGTTTGGTCAATTATACAGCCTGATTTTATTCCCTATTTCAAACTAAATATTTGACATATTAGAAAGTATTGGAGGATTGGGTAGTGAAAGGCAACGGATTCCTTGATTTTAAAAATGTTCTTAGTGTGGACTGCATTTGTATTCGGACCCACTGAGTCAATAAAAATGCCTTTTAAATGTAGTTAACCATGCATGTGTGTTGGGATATGTCTCCACCAGCTTTATCTGTAGCAGATAGGACGAGTGCACAAATAATAATTGTCCTGCAAAAAGATTAGTCTTCCTCAGCTTTGGCTGCAGCTCCTCCAGAGTCACCATCAGCCTCTTATTTACTTTTCTGCTAATATTCTCATTGAACCGCTGCAACAGCCATGTCATTCTAGGCTTGGAGTTGTTATAATTTTTCTATGTTCAGATTATGATTTAACAGTGCTTTAAAATGTGCAAGGTTTGTCTGATAACCATGCTATGGCCCTTGGTCTTCTCAATTATGTGTTTTTATGAATGATCTTTCACAGAAATATGCATGC